ACTGGGGCTGCACAGGTAGAGCTGGCAGGAGCACCCCTGCCCAGAGCCCCAGTGCCTGCAGCCCGCCTTTCTGGGAGCTGGACGCCAGAGCTCAGATCCTCACCAGGGCACAGCATCTGTCCCCATGTCCCCCACCACAGCCGCGTCACCCCGGTGGGGCAGAGCGTTCCCAGCATAGGAGGTCCCCATGGCTCATCACTCCATGGGTGCCTCTAAGCCTGCTCGCCGGCAGCCGCCTGGCAGAGCCCCGCCGCACCAGGGGCAGAGCCTGCTCGCCGGCAGCCGCCTGGCAGAGCCCCGCGGGACCAGGGGCAGCACCTGCCCGGGAGCAGCTCCGTGCCCAGGGATGCTCCAGCCGGCGCCATGGAACACAGGGGTGCCCCATCGTCGCTGCCATCTGCTCCGCAGTGCGCTGCTGACTCAGATTCCCACCCAGCACAGCACAAACCTCACCATGGGATGGTGTTTTCCTGCTTCTCCCAAAGTGCCGACGCTTGTGGGAACAGGAGTAGTGAAGGGGAAAGCAAACAGGGAATGAGGAGCAAGGGGAAAACAGATGGCAGAGCAGAAAGAAAGGCGCGGTGTCAGCAGGGGAGGCAGGAGGGTTGGTGCAGCCCAGTGATGCTGCCCGAGACACAGGTCCCAGGACAGGTCCCCCTTCCCCAGCTCTCAGTAACCTGGGACTCATGGGGCCCTGCTGACCCCTCAGCTGGCTTTGGGAGGATGACCTTCCCGGGCCACCCCATCCCTGTTGTTGCCCTATGCTCCTGGCTCCTGTAGGCCCCAGGCTGTGCCCCTGCAGCTACCCTGTCTCTGCATCACCCCAGCCCTGGCTGAGCCGAACAAACAGCTCCTGGTTACGCTGACGTCCAGCAAGGCCAGGGGATGGTGAGAGGCGAGGGGCCACGCTCCCCTGTGCCCCTGCAGAGGAGCCCCCCCCATGCCTGAGGGAGTGCTCATCCCTGGGGGAGCATCACCTGGGGAAGGCAGATGGGCTCACTGAGGGGCTCACCCGGGGCACAGGCTCTGCCCTG